AGAAGAAGAAGAAGAAGAAGAAAAGAAACGAGCAAGGAAGATAAAAAGGGAAAAAAAATAAAAAAATAAAATTGTCGTTGATTACTTATCTGAGTGACGGGAACGACAGCGATGACAAGGACGGCGCGGCGCAGCGACGAGGACGACGGGTCATGGTGGTGACTACGTGGCGCGACGGCGGCTATCCCGTCCGTGATGATGATGACGGGGCACAATGACGACGATCACGATGATGACGTGGCACGACAGCGACGATCTCGACGATGATGTTGATGATGGCCAGGTGACGATGTCGAAGCAGGGTGGGTCGGGCGGGTTCGAACCGCTCCGATACCAGTGTAACGGGCGTGAGGCTGAGGGTGAGCCGAGGGAGAGGAAAGAGAGGGAGAGAGTGAGAGCACACACACACACTCACTCACTCGACTCGACGGACTCGGACTGAGGGTCGGACGCAGACACAGTGGTAAGGCACAAAGTCGAAGTCTTGGATTCCGAATGCCGAAACAGCAAGTCACACTGAGTACGAGTACAGCAGCAGAGAACTCGTACGAGACTGCCCTCCGTACTGTACGGGGAGCCGGTATAAGTACCGGTGACACATACGGTACCAGGGGCATTTCTGCAAAGGCCCCGAGGGCAGAACTTAAAAATGCAGTATTTGAAAGTGGCGCCGGAATTGCAGCATGGCGCCAGTTGTCCAAAATCCTATGGTACCAAAGGAGGGGTTTGGAAAAAGGGTGCCAGGCCGAGGACGGGATGCAGCCAAAACAGCAAAAGATAGACCAGGGATCGAGCCCTGGCGAAGTCCGTAACAGATACCCACCAACGTCAGAGAGGCAAGGCAGAAAATGCTACACTACTTAGAGCGAACAATATCAGTCGAACAGGCTGAAGCTCTCGACAAACCAATCACATAAGAAGAACTACATCGGGCTCTACAAAGCATGAACAACAACAAGACTCCAGGAATCGATGGGTTAACAAAAGAGTTCTGGGAAAAATTTTGGCCGATGCTAGGAGGTGACTTGCTAAACTTCTATAATGACAGCTGGTCTAAGGGGGAGTTGGGTAATCTACTCAGCAGCAGCGTGGTCACGCTTCTTTACAAAAAGGGTGAGCAAGACGACATCAAGAATTACAGGCCCATTTCGCTACTGACTCTCCCATACAAGGTCCTGGCTAAGACCCTGTCCAACCGGATCATTAAGATTACCAACAAATGCTTCCACATCGACCAAACAGGATTTATCCCGGGTCGTTATATTCTAGATAATGTTATGACACTGAACGAGTCGGTAAGAAAAATCAGAGAAAGGAAAATAAACACCGCCATTCTCTTCTTTGATTTTGAAAAGGCATACGATCAAGTTAACTGGGACTTCATGGAAGCAAGCATGGAAAGAATGGGAGTCGGACCAAACTTCAAAAAGTGGTTTAGGATATTGTACAAGGATGCAGTAGGTTGTGTCAAGTCAACATACTACTATCAGATTGCTATCCGATATCCCGCTCGGTCCGCCAAGGGGACCCGTTGGCCCCGTCAATCTTTCTATTCGTAATGGAGGCAATCGCATCCTTCCTGCGCAAGGATCCATCAATTCAGAGACTGGCCAGCACCGATGTAGGCTCAGCCCACCAGATGGATTTTCCCGCAGCCATTGTGTTCGCAACGATTTAACGGTTCTGATCAGAGCATCAGATTCTTCCTTCAGAACACTAGCAAAAGCAATGGAAGCGTTCAGATTAGCCTTAGAGATGAAGATCAATTGGGGGAAAACAATTGGCTGGTGGCTTTCCGAGGACGAGCCCCTCTCTCTCCAAGGAGATGAGGCGGCTATGACATGGCAAACGCCGGATACTGGCGCCTCAAATGGGCCCATCCGTGCTGGCCAAACAGATTAATAAAACCGGAAGGTGGGGCAACACCTTCACTTCCCTTATTGGTCGAGCTCTGGTCCTCAATACGTCGGTCTTCTCAATGATGTGATACATAGCTTCCATTTGGACAGTCCCCGACAGCTCGATTAAGGAGCTGAACAGAAGAGCTAGGCTTTACCTGTGGACAAGAGACCCCAACAAAGACAAGGGCATATCTAAGATAGCCTGGCACTACGTTACAAGGAGGCCAGGAAACAGAGGCCTAGGAATCATTGACCCCGGCCCACAACAAAAACGAAAGCTTTGCAAATCAAATGGATCATCAAACTGCTGATGAATCCGAACAGCGCCTGGAACAAGTTGGCATTGGATAGTATCAAATCGGTAGCACCAGTACCCTCCCCGAACGATATGTCAGGCCTGTTTTGGGTAATGAATAAAGAATGGGTAATAACTACAGGACGGAGGAATCGGACAAGGAACAACAGACTTGAGGACTATCGACCGCCCACACCTTACTCGTCAGCACTGCTTTGATCATGGAGGAAAATAATTCCGAACAAGACAAACGAACCTAAATCCAAGGATGAAGTACTAAGACAACCGCTCTTCGGGAATGAATGGTTAACAAACGAGGCTGGCAACCCACTTTTCCTAGAACAGAGGTGGCAGTCTTGGATCAAGAACGGTATCTGGATAGTAGATCACTTGTGGAAGGACGACCGAAAAGACTGGTTAACGGAACAAGAAGTTAGTGCCCGACTGAAAGGATGCCACAAACGAGGGACTAATCTTCAGTATATACTTAGTCGTATTCCACAGGAGTGGAAATATATCCTGGTAAAAGACGTTTCGTGGAGAACGGGCGAGTGGGGTCTTATGATTCAAGACACAACCCCTTCTAGAGCCTATCAATTCTCCCACATGCAGCAAGGCTAACACACCAGGGCCACTTTCCTCTCCTTCCCGATCTCCCTCACCAATACGGACATGCCAGCTATCTTGAACTGCAATGTAGAATCATCTATACTAGATTCCTTCCTCCTCAGGAAAGTAAGGGTCCTAGGTACATGGCCAAAGGCAATCTTCAGACCGGACACTGCAATCCGGTCCTTGGAGTTTGATCCTACGGAATGGGCCTGGACGCCAAATAATACCAGCAACATCAAGTCAAAGATCCCAATCCAGGATTACTCAGTCAAACTTGGGTACAGACTGTCTCTGAAGACCAAAAATCCAGACCCTATTATCAAAACAGATGGTGGAACCTCGTGGGTAAAGAAGCAGACAAAGTTACACGAATCCATTGGGAAAAATTCAAACGTATCAGACCAATCAAGATTAGAAGTTTGCAGTGGCTGATTGTATATGCAGCCCTGCCGGTGAACCAATGGCTGCACACTAGATGGAAAGCCGCAGATCCAGACAGCTCAGATCTATGTACAGTCTGCACCGAAGGTCAGCTCAGATCCAGAGTGCGGTAGAAGATGTAGTTCACTGTCTAGTGCTTTGTAAAGAGGCGACCGAATACTGGGCGAGACCTTCATCACTCTGGGACTCCATCTTCACGTCTCCCTTTCCCGAACAACCCATTCAACTGCTCCTCTTGACTAACATCCCTGATCAGGCACGAAAGGCAGAGAGGATCTGGTTTGAACTCATCAGGAAGGTGACCCTATGGGTCATATGGAAGGAGAGATGCAGCAGAACAATTGAAGGGCGGTCCAACCCACGGGAGAAGGTGTGGATAGAAACTAGAACAATGATTCAAGCTGAGATCCTTTGCAGATGGCGGAAGATCAAACAAGCCTGGACAGAAGATGAAGAACAGCGGAAGAAGGAGAGGCTGAGATTCTATAGGAATTGGCTCAGGGTTGCATCCCCGCCGACCGGTCGGGCCGACCGCCGACCGTATTGTACCGACCGATCGGGGCCGACCGATCAGGGCCGACCGGTCGGCGGCAGCCTACGGCTCAGAAAACAGTCCTCCTCTGTTTTTTTTTTTTGGTTCCGAATTCATGGCTGTACTGCGCTTGCTGAGTACTGCCCAAATCCG